TATTAATATGTACAACTAAAATTACTAATAAAGATATGAGCAAGGCCTCACCTTAACACCAAAAAAAAAAAAAATTATATAAATAAATAAAAAAGAAAACTTTAACCTTAATTTTAATCTAACTTTAATTAAAAAAATTATTTTTTATATAAAAAAAGATTAGTTTGATTTACATGTCACACCAGTTGTGTTTATATATAGTAGCACTATGGTACTATAACACTATACTAATATTTCCTTAATTATTTTAAACTTTGTAATTGTCAAATGACTGACTCTGATATCTTAAAATAATCAATTGATATTCAGTATAGTATACTCAAAAAATATTTTTTTATATAATTTCAACCATTTAGAAAACAGCTATAATATGAAAATGTTTCCGGTTAAATCGATATCTGGATATATCGAACAATTTCTTTATTTTTTTGAAGTGCCTAACTAGTGATATGTAGTATTTTTTGATTTGACCTGATAGTGAAAAAATCCTGTTTTGATAGATTATATATATTGAATCTGCGCAGTTTAGTGACTCACTATTATATATAAACATAATGATTATCATTCATCACAGATAAAAACGGCGGATTTTTTTTTTAATGCTAAATACGTGAGTTCTTTTAAATTTTTTATCATGGCGACAGTTGTAACAAAAGCCGTGGAAGAGCCCAAAAAAGTATAATAAGTTTTTTTTTAATTTTCTTGATAATTTTTAAACTTATCAAAATTTATTTTTGGTTATCCAAAAATAGACTGTTAAGCGCGATTCCTTACGGGCTATAGAACAAAAAATTCAGCAATTATGGGAAAATGAACATGTATTTGAAATTAATGCACCCACAATTGAGGAAGAACCCAATGATTCTGTTTTACACGAAAAGTATCCGAAACATATGGGAACTTTCCCATATCCTTATATGAATGGAAGATTACATTTAGGCCATCTTTTCACCATTACAAAGCTTGAGTTTGCCACCGGTTATGAGCGAATGAAAGGAAAGAGAGCTTTATTTCCTTTAGGTTTTCATTGTACTGGTATGCCAATTAAGGTATATATTCACATTTTGATTGTTTTTGAAATAATGAGTTTTTCCGTTAATATCTGAAACAATTAATTGGTAAATATAGGCTTGTGCCGATAAACTATCTCGTGAAATCGAACAGTTTGGACCTGATTTTAAAATACCAGATCAAAATGTTTTAGAAGAAGGTGTTAAAGATTTAGGATTAAATGATGATAATGCTATTAAATCACAAGATGTTTCTGATACAGTGACTAAAGTGACTAGTAAAAAGGGTAAAATTGCTGCAAAGTCGACGGATCTGAAATATCAATTTAAAATAATGCAAAGTATGGGTGTACCTCATAATGAGATTGCGAAATTTGCAGATTCAACTCATTGGCTTTATTATTTTCCTCCATTGGCCATTGTTAGTATTTTATTTTTCACTTTTTGTTTGTTAGAATCCTATCTATTTTATTTCATTTGTTTTATTTTATCCATGAACTCTTTTTCATTTTTTAGAATGATTGCAAAGCTATTGGCGCTAAAATTGATTGGCGTAGATCCTTTATTACCACTGATGTAAATCCTTATTATGATTCTTTTGTTCAGTGGCAAATGAGAAAATTAAAGGATCTTAATAAGGTGAAATTTGGTGAACGATATACTATATATTCACCGTTTGATGGACAACCTTGCATGGATCATGATCGACAAAGTGGTGAAGGTGTTGGTCCACAAGAATATACTGGAATTAAACTTCAAGTAGTAGAATGGAGTAAAGATGCTCAAAGTATTTTAGGTTCAGTTAAGGAGTTAGAAGACAAAAATATATATTTCGTTGCTGCTACTTTAAGACCTGAAACAATGTAAGTTTGTTTGTCAAAAAACGTTTTATCTATTGTATTACTTTTTCAGTTTTTATTTCATATACTTTTTACATTATTGTGTTATAAGGTATGGTCAGACAAATTGTTTTGTTGGAACTGGTTTAACTTATGGCCTTTTTAAAATAAATGAGACGGATGTATTTTTATGCACTCATCGTGCTGCTCGTAATATGGCATTCCAAGGTTTTTCTTGCGAACGTGGTGTAGTTCATCAATTGACTGAAATTAAAGGTGCCGCTTTAATTGGTACTAAAGTGAGAGCTCCATTAAGCGTATATGATCATGTCTATATCTTGCCAATGGAAAATGTTTTAGCTACAAAGGGTACAGGAGTTGTCACTTCTGTGCCTTCGGATTCTCCTGATGATTATACAGCGCTCCAAGATCTCAAGAAAAAATCAGCTTATTATAAGATTGATCCTTCGTGGGCAGCTTTCGATCCTGTTCCTATTATAGATACTCCGACATATGGTAATTTAGCGGCACCAACGGTGTGTCAACAAAAAAAGATTAATTCCCAAAAAGATCGTATACAATTAGCTGAAGCCAAGGATTTAGTATATAAAGAAGGGTTTTATAATGGTGTTATGTTAGTTGGTGATTTCAAGGGTAAACCAGTGCAAGAAGCGAAACCTTTGGTTAGAAATTTATTGGTTTCCACCGGTCAAGGATTTGTATATAATGAACCAGAAGGTCTTGTAATGTCACGATCTGGTGACGAATGTGTTGTAGCATTGTGTGATCAATGGTATTTGGACTATGGTGAAGAAGAATGGAGGAAACAGGCTGAAAATTGTTTAAAAAAATTAAATACACATGGTAATGAGACAAGGCACCAGTTCGAACAAACCCTTGCTTGGTTAAATAAATGGGCTTGCGCTAGATCTTATGGTCTTGGGTCAAGATTACCGTGGGATCCTCAATATTTAGTGGAAAGTTTATCTGATTCCACGATATATATGGCATATTATACGGTTGCACATTTATTACATGGTAAGTAGTGTACTTATAATAATTATACATTAAGATCAATTATGGAATAGCATCATTTTAAAGTCTGTTTTCATGTGGAATTAGGTGGTACTCTTGATGGTTCTAAGCCAGGACCGCTCGGAATTCAGGCTTCGGAAATGACAGATCAAGTTTGGGATTATATATTTTGTGATGGATCATTTCCAACAACGTCCTCAATTACACAAGAAAAACTTGACAAGTTGAAACGGGAGTTCAAATATTTTTATCCTTTAGATTTAAGAGTTTCTGGAAAGGATTTAATTCCAAATCATTTGACATTCTTTATTTATAATCATGTTACTATTTTTCCCGAACACAATTGGCCTCGTGGTATAAGATCAAATGGTCATTTGCAAATAAATGGTGAAAAAATGAGTAAAAGTATTGGCAATTTTATGATCATTGCAGAAGCAGTCGAGAAGTATGGTGCTGATGCTACTAGACTTACTTTAGCAGATGCAGGAGATTCAATTGAAGATGCCAATTTTGAAGAATCTACTGCTAATGCGGCAATTTTAAGGTTATTTACATTGAAAGAATGGTGCGAGGTTTGTATAAATATCTGACGTCGTACATAATTTCAATTCATTTAGTTCACAGAAAAATATATTAATTTATTTTCTTAGGAACAAGTTAAAAATCAAGATAGTCTTCGCACAGGTCCGACAAATAGTTTTCATGACCGTGTATTTGAGAACGAAATTAATAAATTAATTCAACAAACAAACAAAGCTTATGAAGAGTAAGTGAGGCAACTAAATTCTTGAGCATTATCATTTTACATTATTGCAATTGAATTAATTATTATTAATTTCGTTTGATATAATACAAAGCACTTTTTATCGTGATGCACTTAAATATGGATTTTATGAGCTTCAAACAGCGCGTGATTGGTATCGCGAAGCTACAATGAGCGAAGGAATGCATAGAGATCTGATCTTGCGATGGATAGAAGTACAAGCATTATTAATATCACCAATTGCACCACACTGGTCTGAATATATTTGGAGTGAAATCTTATCGAAGGTATTTAATTGTAAAATTCAATTGTTATACTAATTAACCTTTAATTGATTACATATATATTATTAAAATAATAGAAAGGATTTATCATTGATGCATCTTTTCCGAAATTGTCATGCGCAGTCGACGAAAGTTTGCTCGAAGCAGCAGAATATGTTCGAAAAATTATTAAATCAATACGTGATTTAGAAATTTCATCGCAAAAGAAAAAGAAGAAAGGTAAAGCAGAAGATTTTGATCCAAACAAACCGAAAACAATTAAAATTATTATTGCAACAAGTTTTCCGGAATGGCAAGATATTGTTGTTGAAGCGTTAAAACAGAATTTCAATGAGGTATGCATTATACTACAAATTTTCAGTAAGAATTGTTTGTTATTTATATGTTTATTAATCATAATACATTATGTAGGACACGAAATTGTTTGATGATATTAAAATTAGAGAATATTTATCAGAAAAAGGAATTTTGAAGAATAAAAAGACAATGCCATTTGTTCAAGAGTTCAAAAAACGAGTGGAAAAATTTGGCAAAATAGCGTTTAACAGAGCATTATTGTTTAATGAGTATGATACACTTGTGACATCTAAAGAATATTTGCAACGTAGTCTAGGGTATGTTGATGTAAAAGTTTTAAGAGAGGATGAAGCAAAAGAGGAAGAAGAAAAAAGAGCAATCGAATTGGCGATCCCTGGTGAACCAGGATTTTTATTTAAGAATATTGTAGAAACTTAATATTTATCAGATAATGGTTATTGATTTATTTTAGTTAATAAAATGATAAAATGACAATATGATACATGTCCACATAGAGTGGGTTCAAATATTTTAACAAATAACAAAATTAGGCATGTGGGTTTGTGACATTGTTCAACAGCTGGCTGGCATTGATGATTTTTTTCGATAAACCAAATTTTTAAAAATTACTGAGAAAGTGAGATACTAATACTGTGTATACTTTTTTAATATATAATTTACTCATTTGTTTACGTAATTAAATTTCAACGAAAACGAAATGCATATCGATATCGATATAGTAAATGCAATTTCAGGAATTTACTGGAATGATAGCATTAACGTGACAGCAATATTATATATTATAAATCATTCATTTATTAATTACGGTTGATCAGAAGTTGCATCTGCACAAGTGGTACATTACTGTTCCTCACTGATATTTCTCACATTATCTTGATCAATCAAATTAGTAGAATTTATAGAATTTATATTGCCATTGTTCATGTCTGGCAATGTTGTTACAAGCAGAATAGGACATGACGTCAATAAATATAAAATCAAAAATTAAATACTATCGCTGTTCCTTAAACTGTTAATTCAATTATATATCTACTAAAATTTAGACTACAATCCAATGTAATTTGATAGTTCAATCATGTAATTTCTAGGTAAATTTGATTGGAAAATGGTTTAAGAGGTAGTTTTAATTTCTATTAATATTTTAGTTTATACTTACAATTAAAGAGCTCTAGAAAACTAAAAAGAGAATGAGTTTCGTTCGAATTTGAGCAAAAGATTTTTTTTCAAGCAGCTTTTCAACAAAATTTTCACAGTCACGTGACAAATGACAAATCTTTGAAGTTCTTTATGTTTGAGTTAGCACTTATTATAGGGTTAGTAGTTAAAGGTAATAGCGATAGTAGTAAAATTGCCAAGGAAAACTTTTTGTTAGATACAAAAGGCGATTATCATGTAAATCATTGTGTAATAAGCGATTTTTTCAAACCGAACGTTTGTTTTGGGACGGGGCAAAAAATTTATCGATATAGTAATAGTGAAAATATCGATTTATACCGATTTACTAAGATTGGCCAATCAGAATGCACTATTTGGTGTAATATAATATAACGTGATCAGTATTGCCAAACATGTTTTTCTGTTTGTTGATTATCTACGTTTCGACAGTTCAAGTTGGCCAAATTTGTGTTGTCCGGCCCAAATTATACACATAATTTTGCCCGAAATGGTATTGTTACACCGCATTAAAAATTGCAAAAATATCGATTTCCCTATCGATTTTACCTGTGTCCAGGATTATGCGAAAACATAATCTGCACATAATTTACCAAATTTTCGAAGTGTTTGACAGGTGAGAATTTCGATGCATAAAGTCCGAAATATTCCGAAGATTTCGCATAATTGACAAAATTTAAATAAGAAATCCATCGCATAACTTGACCTCGATCGCACGCATAATTTACCCTGCCGCATCGCATAATTCTGGACACCCTAAGTTGCGATACTGGGGTAGTTTTTTCAAGCGATCATATCACGTGCATATCGTGTTCGCCTAGTTTATATGATTTTTTTTTTTAGTGTTCCGCAAACGGGTTCCGTCGTCAAGTAATTGGATAATAATTGAGTCTCATTCTATCATTACCCAATTTCTTGACGATGGAAGGTTAATCATCCTTTGTGGTTCCAATTTGGGTACCCGTTTGCGGAACGCTAATTTTTTTTTTCAAATTTTCGGGTTGGGATCATCGGATTTAGGCAGGCATTTAGTAATATAAGCCAACCATTTTTTTTTAGTCAAAATTATCAGCTAAGCATTAATTCCAACCTGGACGATCATAATTCTAACACAGAAATTTTGGGACCTTCCTGTACGAGTTTAGTTTCAGTTTGACGTTCGAAATGTATTACTTGAGCTGACTGCCATGTGGTTTTTTGAGATACTTTAAATTTAATATAATGCATAAATACAGTATAAAAATCTGTGAAATTACATATACGTATCAATATACTAATTAACAATTAACCAAAGCTTAAATGATGCACCGAATAATAATAATGTGTACCAGAGACGTATGTACGTACATGTCACAATGGCTTGGAGGAGTTTGATTTCCTGATTTCTAATCGTAACGGTAACTATAATTTCAAATAGAAATATTTAGTAAATTTCAAGCTAATATAAAATTTGTAATTTATAAATAATAAGGTTCAAATTTTAAAATTTTCATAATGATACAAAGTTTATATAAAGTAACAAGCAAACCAAACCATTGTTTTCGCTATTTGCCGTACGTATCTCTATTTTGTTATTTGCAGTAAGAATTATTTATACTTTTAGTAACAAACACAATTTTACATATTTCACTTTTGACAAAATAATTTCATTGAAAAATTGTCGATTTATTTGAATAAAGTATATAAAAATGGTTGAATCCATATCAGTGAATAAGTTAATTGATCAAATTAATTTTCTATTAAAGAACGAATCAATTTTTTTAGTACAATCAAATGAAGAAAGTCTTATACATATATATAACAAATAAGAATATTGTTTCATTTTCAATTAAAGTACCTCAATAAAAAAATGTCATCTAGAAAGATGCATAAATCATTCAGGAAAGTCTTGGAAAATAAATTAAATTGGTTATTAATATTGAAATTGTAAGTATCATTAGCTTTTTAGGCATATTACCGTTACAACCAACCAATAACTTAAATAAATATATATATATATAACTGATATATCTTATATTTCAGATATTAATATATTAATACGTATGTATACATATCGATATGTAATTTTATCATTATGATATGTACGTATACGTACACATAAAGCTGTAACCGGCAGTTATATGTTATCAATGCAAGGTATATGATTTGCTAAAGTGAAAATATAGAATGATTTACCTATTACATTATCGTAATCGAAAACTTAATTTAGAATAACCAATTTAAGAATAACCGAACTTTTTTTTAATAACTAAACTAAGGTAACAGGATTGAATGTCAATCAAAATTTGGAAAAAAAAAGAAAATTTCGTGAATTAAATAGATATAAAATTTCGAAAGTCGAGAAATAGAATAATTTTCGATGAGAATGAAACGAAGAAAAACAAAAAGTCAATCAAAAAAAATTTACAAGTATTAAAATATCTATATGATAAATAACAGGTTTTTTTTTTAATATAACGATAATAAACATTTCTTTATTTATTAGTTTTTGACCAACCAAAGTTTCATAATTTTAAGTCAATCAACAAAGGATTAGAGAACTTTGTATTAAACAATTCTTCACCTTGTCGTTTAAAGGACGAAGGAATCATAAAGAGATTATTAACAAGTATCTTGGTTGGTTATTATTAAAGCTAAAAGGCATAAAGATACATATATATTGACCAAAAGAATTTCCAAAAATTTTTTTTTTCGAAAAATTTAATTTCATATAATTTATATTCGCTATAACACATTAATAACATGCTTCATATTACTTCATATAAAACTTTTTTAAGACAGTACACAACATAAAAATTTTATAAAATTTTAAGGCTTGGCACGCGTATACAGTTTGAATTAACGAAATTAGGTCAACAAGAAATCATAAAAAAAATTTTTTTATAGGTTTAGCATTCATGGTCATTAAAAACATATATTCAATATTTCATAATTCATCACTTTTTACGCATTTCAAATTACCAACCAAAAAATACAAAATATACAAAATAGAAAATTAACAAAAAAATATAGTAAATGTTGTGTTAGTTATGTTAAACAGTTAAACAGTAGAGGGCTTATTTTGGCGTATCGATACAGAATCTCGAACGAAGTCGAAATTTTTTTGGAAGCCCTTGTTTGATAACTAATAATAGTAAAAATTTTCCAAAACTAGACCAAGTTTAAAGAAATGATTTGTCAAAACACAAGGTCCTTGTCTTGTTTATTACTTTATTACTTATTATTAATTATAATGGCTGAAATTGGCTCTTTTTTTTTTGAACGTAGAAGGATTAGAAGGAAATTTATATATGTAATATGTGTAATATGTTAATATGTGTAATATGTGTAATATGTGTAATATGTGTAATATGTGTAATGTTTTGAATGCTAATGATCAGAATTTATCAGAAAATCATGCTGGCTTAACTCCACAAGTACATCAGGTACATGAAAATGTAATAGGAATTATAGCATAACTTCCAGGTACATTGAAAATGTAATACAGAAAAAAAAAAAAAAACAAGGTCTTAGGAAAATTTCATTGTAAAAATTGATTTAGGTAACGATTGCCACAATTAACTCTAGAACCTACAAATGTCAGAAGCGTCATTGAATTGGCGATTCTGATTTTCACCGCAGACAAAGAAAAATGAATTTCGCGTGGCGTGAAATGTTTCTTTCGCATACATGATTACGCAATTTTAAACCCATATTTTTAATGTTATTGTTACACGGCATAATATTTGGTGATATGAAATCATTTATATTACGTGTGAAACAGACGTAATACAGTAATAAGGTAGTAGGGTAGTAGGATAGTAATAGGGTAGCAGTAGGTAGTAGCAGGGAAGTAGCAGGGAAGTAAAAGATGTGTACATATATACATACATACTTGCGCATATATATATATGCGTATATATATCTATGCGTATATATATATATGCGTATATATATATATATGCGTATATATATATACTTGCGCATATATATATATATATATATACTTGCACATATATATATACTTGCGCATATATAAATATATACTTACGCACATATAAGCACATATAAGTACATATGTATGTGCGTAAATGATATGTAGACCAGTAGTAAACTAAAGTAATCAGTTAAATTGAGGAACAATGATCGGTAACAGAAAAAAAAATTTGTAAAATTTATCGTGATCCCTTTCACGGAAAACGCCCTATGATAAAAAGTTACACGATGAAAATCATGTTAAGCATATTTTAACATAGAATGAATCGAACTCGGGTTCTTAGATTCGAGGGTGAACGACGTAACACAAAAGAACTGTGAGAAAAAAAAGTGTATTGATGAACAAAGGAGAAAAAGGGTAACAAAGACTAGTATGTAAAACGTCTTTGTTGGTCAGCCACGTTTTTTTTATATTATGTAATCGTTTAAATTCCATTTGTTTGTTGCTCGTTTTCGGTATCCTTAAATTGCCACATGGCAAATAAAGTTACTCAGATGTAATTCACACTGGTCATTGTATTTTCCCTCCCGCAATTTTCTCTGCATTAACAAACTCTTGGTGATACTCTGTTAAACGTGCGCATTATTTAGTTTTTTTTTTTAGTTTAATAATCTGTAAAAGATAACAAGGAGTATATTCGTATACCATAATAATGGCTATTAATTCCTTATATGTCAAACAGGTTCGGGAACAAGGTAATTTAAAATTGAACAAATCAAATATTGATTTTCTGATTATTACAAAGATTTTTTTCGTGCTCTCTGGGCGTGGATCATTTTCCGGATATTAATTATTTATTTATTTATATCAACATCTAAATTAATATCTTTTTTTTTTTTTTAAAAAAAAAAAAAAAAATTATTTTTATATTATCTATATTTAATCTTTATATCTGTATTTTTGTGTGTATACTTTTAAGTGTATATTTTTAAGTGTATTTTATTTTATACCAATTTATACTATTTATACCTATTATATTACTTATTATTACTTATTATATTACCTATTATATTACCTATATTTTTATGTCTATATATATAGCCATTTTCCCCGCTTTCCATTTTTTTTCCTCGTCCAAATTGCGCATTTCAAAGTCCTTTGTTCTTTGAGGAATTTTCAATAAAGAAAACAAAAGTAGTTCTTGCTCTGCGAGCATTACCATATATTCTCTTTTTTTTAAAAAAAAAAAAATTACCACGGTAATTTTCAGTTTTCAGATTTTCTTTTAATTCAAAAAAAAAATAAAATAAACCATGACGTCGTCAACATCAACTCCTCCAACATCTCCAAAACCTGTTGCCCCGTTGGTTGAACTTCCGACATTACCTAAATTAAGACACATTGCACCTGCTCCTCGAGATAAACCTGAATATGATATTTATCATATTCCAAAAGGTTTTGAAGTAGTTTTAGTTCCAAAACCTTCTAATGGTACCAGTTCTGATTTCTCTACTGGACCTTCACCTACTTCACCTACTTCTACTGCTATACCTCTTTCACCTGCTGCTTCAGTGTCTAGTATTCATGGTTCACCTTCAAAACTTTCACCTCCTACTGTTAAATCACCTCCAAATAGTTCGTGGCGCAAACGTAAAAATAATGGACATATTCCTCGTCCTAAAAATTGTTTCATGGCCTATCGTGAACATATGCAACATGAAGTTCTTAAAAAAAATCCAGGAATGAATAATAAACATGTTTCAATTATTGCTGCTGAAATGTGGAAAAATGAACCTGAAGATGTTAAACAATATTGGCGTGCTCGTGCTCAACAGTTGAAGCTTGAACATATGGCTAAATATCCTAATTATAAATTTTCTCCTAAAAAGAAACAATCTAAATCTTCTAATAATAATGGTCTTAATGGAATTAAACAAGAAAATAATAGTAAAATCATTAAAAGATCTACTATAATGACTGATGGATATTCTAAAGATTTATTAAAGAATCGTGAAACTCGTGTTTCCCCTCTTTTTTGGGGACATTATCGTTCTTCTTCTTCCGATTCTATTGGTTCATGGACTAGTGATTCAACTCCTTCAACTCCTCCATCATTCATTGATGATTCTGCTCATTCACCTCCAATGTTTAATTCTCATCAAGATCATAATAGATCACCTTCACCTTTACGTTATGAAGCTTGTTTAAAAGTTGAATCTAATAATCTTGATCAACAACATGAATGGCAAAGAATTTGTGATATGCCTCTTGAAGGTGAATTCTTTCAAACCCTTCTTCCACCTATGGAATTCGATCAACATATGCATGTTGAAGCTCCTTATTATGATAGTATCGAATGTGGAAGTTTCCTTCAACATGATGCACAACTTTTAAATTCTTTTGAATTTAATCCAGTCATTCCTGCAAATCATAATCAAGCTTATCATAATAACGCCCTTTATTAATTAATTAATTTATTTTAATCAAGTTCAACTGAACAGCACGAATCGCTGATATTTAGTTGCATATTTTCTCGAACATTTAATTGAACATTATAATTAATTGAGCATTTTAATCAAATAATTTTTTACGCGCATATCTTGGACACCTTAAACATTCTAAACTTTCTTCACATTTAATATGTGAAAAAAAAACAAACCAAAAAACAAAAAAAAACACAATCTGAAAAAACTTTTTTTTGTATTTATTCTTAAATTCCATTCCGTCCCCCCTTGTATTTTTCCGTCGCTTTTTTTTGTAACCTATCATAGATTATACATACGTTTATAGACGCAAAGTTTCCAATTTAACGTAAAGTTGGCAGCACTTGCAATTTTGTTATATTATCATCATAGACTTATTTTAAATAGCATTGTATTTATTGTTGCATTTCCATTTTTTTTTTTTTTAAAAAAAAATTGCATTTTCATTCTTTTTACATATACACGTTGCATTTCTTTTACAAACACATCGCATTTTTTTTTTTTTTTACAAGTAGCGCATTTTTTTTATATTCCTTTTTACTTTTCTTTATTTTTTTGGTATATTCGCATTCGAGAACTCGACAAAAAAAAAAAAACAAAAAAAAAAAAAACAAAAATTCTTTGCACTAATCATTTATTATTATTTGACTTTTTTTTAAATATTCATTTTCATATTTTCGTTCTTCCCTTTTTTTTCACCACCTTAAAAAAAAAAAAATTTCATTACGATCAATTTTTTTTTTTTTTTTTTGAAATTTTGTGTACGCTTTTAACGCTTTTAACTTTTAGCTAAATCAAAATTTAACGAAATAATAATTATGTAAAAGCAACAACAAAAAATAATTTTTTTTTTCAAAGATTTAATTAAGCAAGGGCGAAGTTTTTACTACAAATATGCAATCAAAATTAAATAAAAAAAAAATTTCCAATTTCTAGGATTTCTTTTTTTTTTTCTATATAACAAACATAATATTGTATTGTAATATAACAAATTACAAATTTCGAAATGAATTTTTTTTTTTTTTTTTTTTCTGATGCGATTATCGATCAATCAAAATGAGTAACAGTAATGGTAACGGTAATCAAAAAAAAAATTAATTAATTGGTGTACGTACGTTAATCTTTACCGTTACGCCCTAACCACCATAACCATGTGTTTTTTAGAATTTGAATTCGGAAATTCGGAGTTAATATATTGTATTATATTGCGTCACGTATATTATATTGCGTCACGTCATTATGTATATTATATTGCGTCACTATGTCACTATGTATATTATATTGCATCACAATGATTTGATAGGCTGTCACAATGATTATAGGCTGATGTGCAGTGTACCTAGTTCTTTGAACTTCTTTGAGCCTTTCCTTTTACGTACTCCTTTGTTACTTTTAGAATTTGGGACTGGCCCATGGCGTGCATGTGTTGTGCATGTGTACATGCATGCATGTTTTTTTGTGCATCTTTGAACTTTTAGGGAGTGTGCATAATTTTTTTTAAAGTTAAAATTTAATATATTGTATTGTAATACTCGTTTAAACCAGCTTTTTTAAAAAAAATTACCCCCCCTTACTTACTTACTTATGATCTAAGTTTAAGTATTATTATGTATAATTTTTAATTAGACAAACTTTAAATGATATATACTAATTCAGTAATCCAGCATGTATCGGGTATATACGATGATATATTATTATATATATGCATTCTGTATCACTACGTATTAAAAATATGCGTAGTTATACAATGTTCACAATGGCATGGCATGTAAATCTTCTTTCACCTAACATTAATTTTTAGGTCAACCGATTTAGGTAATTTGAATAATAAATTTCAACAAAAAAAAGATATACATATGAAAACTAATGTTTGTATTGCAAATGATTAACTTTGAAACGTGGAACATGGAACGTAGAAAAAACAATAAAATAAAATTCGTACTAATGTATTGCTGTATTATGGGAAGTGGGCGTTGACAAATGATTTTCCTTTTATATTTTTATAAACCTGCTTTTTTATCGTTATTGCTAAAAATGAATCTTGATTACTTTTTAATGCATCATATTTAAAATCACGAATACTTGCTGATCACATCATTAACTATATATCATTAACTTTATTAAGCATTTAAAGAACTAGAAGTCATGCATCTTTAATTTCTTAAGCAGAACGGAAGTTTGCGGATGTAGGGTAAAAAAATATCGTTGATTTCAAATGTTTGACATATAAAATCACACTCAATTAAATTAAATTTATATTTTTTATAATATATAATAAAAAAAAGTTTGATTATATGACGCATTATTTTCATTAATTTACATTATGATACAACTTAGCCTTAATTTTAAGAATTATACAGTAATTACTAGTGATAGTGTTGTACATTTTTGATGTTTATATATATATTTTAACAAAATATGGTTATACTCTTAATATTTAAATGAAAATATTTACATAATAATCATAAGTATATACGTATATTTTTTTCATTTTATTTTAAACATAATTAATTTAAAAATACGAAATCAAGTGTATTTTATTAAGACATATGTCAAAGCATGCCTTGTGACTAATGCCAAGAATTATTACAACCACATGTTAAATTGATAATGATGATTAATTTATATCGAGGTAAACTAAGGTTTCTTCAAAAAACATTCTTACAGTATTACATATTTACATATTTAAATTTATAATTTTATTATATTTTTAAAATAAAATTTCCAAGGGGTGCATTTAATTACAATACATATCAATACATATTGTAATCTTGGTAAACACATAAACACATAATTTGTGCGTACAGTACATACATATGGTGGCGTTACACTGTTAATCATTAGACCACGAAATTAATACTGGCAAACCTTTATAATTCCGGTACTTTACGTATACTAGAAAATTACATGAAATGTAAAAATGTAAAAATGTAATTTTTATATCACAATATATCATTTCAATATCCAGAAAATTGATATTCAATACCTAAATCTTAGTTTAATAAATAAATACAAAATCCTACCTAGTTTAAATCCTAGTTTAAATACAGTATAGTAATCGATTTTCAATACATGCCGATACTGTAAAAGAAAATAATAATCATTTTAGGTTAATCATTTTAGGTTAATTATAGTAAATAAAAAATATTTCAACTTAAAATACTATATAAATTATAAATTTAAAAAGCCTAAAGTATGGTTTATTTGTACTAAAATGTAAGCGATTATGTTGTGTTAAAAAGTTTATTACAGATTTGGTAACTAATGCACAAAGAATACCAGTTAATTCATAGAAAAAAAAAGAATGCTTCCCTCATTACCTACAATAACTCTTAATATAGTAAATACTATTGTGATTCGCAAATCGGCGAGTCTGTCGCTAAACTAATCCAACTCTCGCGTAACCTACGGCGGCTAAGTCGAAATAGGCGTGTTAGATTTGGCTGGGTGGTTTATCCGTAGGTAAGTACTCTTCTTCTCTCTAGGTCTTTCCTGCAATCTATTCTTCTACTAACTCTTTGTCTTCTCTTGTCTTCTCTTTGCCTTCCTCAACCCGGGATTACACTACGTCGAATCAGGGTTGGAACTTCTTCGATTTCGTTAACGGTCTTGTCACGTGACTTGCGGCGAGCGATCAACTTGCGAGTTTAGGGGTTTATTTAAATGAACGATAGGGGTAACAACGGGATTTACGATGGTCTATTAGTTTCTATAGGGTAGACTTTCACTTTTATTAAGGGTCGGGTATTTATTGTTATTAGGGAATTTGTTGTTAGGAATGCGGGAATTATTTAAGGGAAGGGATAATTATTATTCTTTCCTGGCAGAAATGCCCTTTATTTATGATAAACGTTTTATTTACATTGGTAATTAATTTCTGCCATAAATGCAATATATTCCTTATACTCCATATCTTAACTAAATGCAATAAAAGGTCGATATTCCATTTATCGCAGAAATAACATAAATAACAGAAGTAACGGAAGTTAGGGAAGTAACAGAAGTAACATTTCCGTTACTTTTCGCGTGACCTTGGATCGGTATGGATCGTCATCTCGATTCGGGCACTCGTGATCCCAAAAATCGGGCTCACACTATATATAGGTTCAACAATGTCGATATCAAATAATACCTAATATCAATTTAATACAGCAGACTTATATAGTCACTCTTGATATAAATTATTAAAAGAAAAAATCAGTTAAATGGTAGATCACAGTTGAAAGGCATAAATTTCGTAGTAAAAATTTGCGAAGATTTATTATTACTTTCATATAATGTTGGAATTTCTGACAATATATAAAAGTTATATAGTTATAAAGAAAAAAATTGCCAATAACTCGCAGTCTATCAAATCAATTTGAATTTATTAGAAACTCAAGAAAGGTTTACTTGGCATAAAAAAAGTTTTCATTGTAAGCTAACTACATTTCAACTCTATAAAAAAACTATATTAAATTTCAACAATTTTTACTACAAAGTAATATATTTGTAACCATGGTTACTGTAGTCATATTCTATAAAAACCAATTAATTTTAAAAATTAGATGCAACGTAATACAATTAAAAAAATTCAAAATAAATATTAGTTTAAAAATTGACAAAAATTATTTATAACTTACAATTAAGTATATAAAATTACTTGTTGAGTTTTAACAAAAAATTTTTCTTATAAAATTTTATTATAAACTATTTTTTTTATGAATTTTAGTATTTAATGTATAGTGCATTGCAGTGCACCTTTATAATTAATTTACAAATTTGTATATAAAATAAAAAATAATTTTTGATTTATTTTAAAGTTAAAATAAGGTTTAAGGTTTTGATTAAACATTAATATATGCAAATTTTAGCATAAAAATTATTTTTATTAGGATTTTAAAGGCAATTTCATAAGTGAAATTTTGAGATATTAGAATTTTTTTAAAAAATATAAAAAAAAATTTTTTGTTTTTGTTATTATACAAGATTTTCACATTATACAAATAATTTACAAATTTGATTGATTAAATTACAGAATGTACTGCAATATATGTATACTATATTCTTAAACTTTTTTTTTTTTTTTTTTTTTTTTTTCATACCGCCAAACCCCCACCTCTATTTTCTTCGCTTTTTGCATCACTTGTCCCTCCATT